CCCTATTCCCTCGCCTGTTGCTTTGGTCTCGCTTTTCTAACCTGGGCACCTTTTGTTTTGCCTCACTGATGCCCTGAGCTCCATCCAGAGCTTGCTGCCCATGCCAGGAGCCTACCCTGTGTGTCTCCCCACCCCACCTGCTGCCGCGGAGCCAGCTGGAGTCCAGCCAACTTTACCCCCTTTTATAGGGTGCTCACAGAATCACAGGACTGGTTTTGGAAGGGACCTCAAAGCCCACCTCATTCCACCCCCTTGCCATAGGCAGGGACACCTTCCACTAGACCAGGCTGCTCCAAGCCCCATCCAAGCTGGCCTTGGACACTTCCAGGGATGCTGGCTGTGCACAGAGAGACTTTCAGTTTGAAACTTCCCCAAAGTATGAAAACGAGCTAAATTTGGTGAAGCTTTGCCGCAGAAGAGCTCTCAGCTCTGGGTGGAAGCCGACAGTGAGCTCTTCATGAAGCGCTTCACCAGCACCAACCCAGACAGCAGGTGTATGTGCTCGGCACATTTTAGTAACTTTATTCATATCAAACCACCTTAAAATAACCGGATCTCTTTTGTGTCTCCTGCTGCTGCAGTGGAGTCGCTGAGGGAGCCCAGAGATCTGCTGTGAGGAGGTGGATCTCGGAGGGCAGAAGGAAGCATTTCCCTGATCCCTTACCTGGATCAGACCACCCTGGGTGTGTCACCGAAATTCAGAGGGGCTCCTCAGCCCCAGCTTCACACCAGGGGAAGGAGGTTTGTGACACGCTTCAAACACTGGCTGTGACCTGCAAACCCTCCCAGTGAGCCAGGGAGGGTTTTAGCCACTCTTAAGTCCTTTGTGGGTGTGAGGGCCGAGAGCACCAAAGCAGATGCAGAGCTCAACCTGAGGGGTTTCATGGTATTTGGGGATGTGGCAGAGCCAGGGGCTGCAGACAGTGGCCAGGACACCCCTTGGAGCTGGCTGCATGGCCGTGCCAGGGAAGAGGGAGCAGGAGCTGCTCTCGTGGCGGGGGATGCAGGTGAAAAGCTCCAGGGACTGGAGGCCGGACAGGGTGGAGATCCCCCACACCGCGTCTGGCACCTTCTTCCTCCCAGCACCGTCAACAGGCGCGACTTCCCCAAACTGAGCTGAGCAGCCTTTTGGAGGAGGGGGTTGTGATTGGTGAGACGGAGCCAGCGCTGCGCTTAAAGCCTCGAGGCAGACGAGGAAGCGTCAGGCACACGGAGAGCCCCGCGAGCCCCGACCATGCGGCCCCTGCAGCGCCTCCGCCCGCTCCTCCTGCTCGCCCTGCTCGCCCTCTGCATGGTAAGGCCCGGGCTCTGGTGGCCCAGCGGGTGGGAGGCAGCCCTGGGTTCAATCAGCCAGGCAATTTCTGCTTTCAGCTGGGAGCATCAGCGTTTAATTTTCTATCTGACTCTTAACCGCTGTGATGGACCAGGAGCTTTGCGCTGTGGTCTGGAAGGTCTAACTACTGCCATGTGTTGGCTTACTTTAAAGCATTTCTTTAACCTGAGAGTATCATTCACATCCATAACCTTCACCCTGAGTTCTCCAGCCCTTCCTTTGCATGCCTGGTGTGGGGATGCTGCGTGTGGCTCGCTGGAGAGGCCGGGCACGACGTGGGGGTCCTGGGTGGGCACGGGTCTGTGGTTTCCTCTCGCCTCTCCCCACTGCAGGTTGTTTTTCTTCCCCCTGTGAGGGTCTGAGTGCCATGCTGGTGGATGTCAGGGCTCTCCTGGGTGGGGAGCGTTGCGTGGGAGGGAAGGTCATGATGCTTTTGGGGGCACGATGCTGTTTGGAGCAGCTTCTGGGATGATTTTTTTTGCCCCCAACAATGTGTTGGTGATGGCACCAGATCTCTCTGAGCTTATTTCACTCATGAACTTCCACGCACCTGCAACCTGCTGTTGTTGGCTCCACAGGGTGCATTTACATTTTGGGGTTCCCCCTCCGTGACCAGGTGAAACCAGCCAAAAACCCTCGGGGGTGTTGGGGCCCCATCCCTGACCCTTTCCCTAGCTCTGGAGGGACCCTGAGGAGGGTGGCGAGGCAGTGTGGAGACTGTGTGTCTCACAGTGGGGAACAGCATCCCTTTTCCAGCAGCAGGGTAGAGTTAGAGACGGAAGGAAAGCGCCCTGAAATCGCCATCCCAGCTGCGTGACATTCCACTCACCGGCTGCAACCTCCCTGCTTGCAACAGCCCGGGGGTCCCTCTTCCCCCTGGCCCCTCTCCTCCAGCACGGGTGTTTCCCAGCTCTGCTCCCACACCCCAACCTCTTCCGCTCAGGGCGCGTGTCCCGCCACCTTCTCGCCACTTCCTCGCAGCAGCGAGAGGGGCAGAGGCCACTCCCTGGCTCCTGCCTCCCCCTAATTTTTTAAAAGCCCTCCTCTAGAGCCAGGACAACCTTTCGAGGGGGAGCTTCCCGCCTTGTGCTGGGAAAACCCAAAAGCCGGGAGTCTGAGTGGGAAGGAGAACCTGCCGTGGGACAGGAGGCTGCTTGTCCTGCCTGGCATGGGACACTGTGGGCTCTTGGGTGCCCCAACTGCGTTTGCCCCTGACTCCTTCTGCCCCGAGGGCCATCGAGTGAGGCTTTCAACCCCTCGCTGCTGTTTGGAAGGGATGCCTGACGCTCGTTTTTCTTTCCCAGTCCCTCTGCCAGGCGCAAGAGGCGAAGCAGCTTCCAAAAGAGACTCCGCACGCCAATGCAACGATCAGCGGCAACCTGAGCCCCCCCTGCGGGAGCCCCCCGCTCCTCTCCCTCGCCCTGGGGGTGGTCGCAACTTTCCTCCTGCATCTGCCCTGACCGGGAGGGGGCTCACCGTGCATCCCCCCTCCTCTCCGGATCCCCCAAGAAGAACCCCAAGAACC